GATTCAATTAGTAGTCTAGAAGTAATTCTGGTGCTAAAATTTTCTCTAAGGTAAAGTGTTTTATTCATTTATTAGCCTTAGCCTACGTCCTTGTGCAAATTAATTGAAAGAAAACGAATAATTCCGTTATTATTTCCTATTTTCGTTTTTTTTCCAATGAAACATGACCCAGTGCACATGTTAGTACTTCGTATGTCCATTCCACGAAGTCGTTCCTTGCAGATTGACAAAAGATTCTCGACTAGATTTAAATCCGGAGTGTATACGGGCCAGTCTATAGTACTTTGGTTTGCTCACTGGTAAGGCTTGCTAGAGTGTTCGTGCAGCGTTAAAATTTTCGTACGCTTCCTTGGAGTAACGTCCATCGCAGACAACGGCTGTAGGACAAGTAATCGACACTCGAGACAATAGTGTCTGGGCGTGATGAAAATCTGATGCAAACACGGATGATGCAATATTTTTCAAGGCCAAACAAATTTCATTATCCACCCCGAAAATACATTCATATTACTGCACACCACTGCAAATGATCTAATCTGAAGAAAAAATAGAAATCAATTGCACCCTGTCACTCGAGTGGGTCTAAAACTGACCGTATGGTGAAAGAAAGGAAACTAAAGCAGTTGTTTAAATTAATTTGCACAAGGGGGTATGACAGAAGAAAACTGATCCGAACGTTCAGTTATTTAAATAACATTGTATAATTCTTTTTCAATCAGTTCAGCAACCGTCAGTTTTCCTTTCTTCAATCACTTGGATTAATAATGCAAAACGTATTTTAGGGGAGATCACGATTCATCTTGCTTACCAATTTCTGTTAAATGTTTAGAATCTCTAGTTTGTAGTGTTTATTTCTACCGTTTAAAACGTTGATTTATGAGAAGAAATCTACAATATATTTTATTAAATATCTCATATTCGAAGAAATGATGTTTCTTAGTGCGTTAACCACAATCATTTCCGATTGTTTTTTTTCTTAAATAATTATTTTTTATGGAAGAAAGTACTTGATAAATTTCGGAACACCTGTAGTTTTCGTTTTTTTCAAAATATACTTTGTTTTTCCTTTTTTTCTTTTTTCTTTCTTTTTTCTTTTAAAAATAAATAAATAAAAGAAAAAATAGTTTTTCAGGTACAAGTATTTATATGCAATACACCTGGACAATTTTTCTTCTGGTAAGATATAGTTACAAGCACTTACTTATTCGTCTTCGGCTCACTTGCGCGCGCGCGCGCACACACACACACACACACACACACACACACACACACAGAAACCTATTTGATAGCTGAGTTTCAAAATATACTTGTCGGGTTAGGCTTTCAAAAGTTTATTTTTAAGACGGGAGATCTTGGCATGTTGAAAAATTGACGGAACATAATCTCACTTTTCTGTCACATGGTATTTTGTAGATATCTGTACATATTTACAAAGTTTCCCGAATATGAGTCGAGAGGGACATTTTCATTTCGCAATGAGGTAACATACTATTGTGGCACTATGCAATTGTATACGATGTAACTGCCTATGCATACCATAAAGCGAGGGTTAGCGCCGCCGATTATTGTTGTCAAGTTTATTTCTTACTGGGTGTGCCTATAATTTAGTGCTGTAATGGAATCAATTAGGCTTGATTAATATCAACGGAAACAATGCCTTATTATATGTTACTTATATGCATAGAATTAAGTAGCTAAAACTGTGGGGGTCACTGAGCGAGACTAAAAGCAAATGAATGACACTGACCGACACCGAGTGCCACCGAATAACACTGTAGGGCACAGAGGTACGCCAAGAGAGGCCCAAACTAACTAAATGTTATCGAGTAATAGCGAGATATTTCTTATATGAATATATATTTATATATAGAGCCAAAAGAATTTTTCTTTTATTGACACATTCACCTGAAGACGACCAGAATATGAAATGGTCAATACGTTCCAGAAAATGTAAAGCAAGAATCTATTTCGAGACAATATTAAGTAAAAGAAACATGAAACATATTTATATTAACAACATGTCATTGTGAAATTTCAGACGAAACAAATGAAGTTTGTTTTGTTAACTCTGCTAATGGCCGTGAATTTTCGTGTTGTTATAAGATGTTTGCATTGTGTATCATTTCAATGTTCTGTCCAATTAGAAAATATCACTTGTTATTTCCTTTCGCTTACATATGACGTGTTGTACTCGATAAGTAGGAAAACGATACAAGTTTCCTTCTTCTTTTTTTCTTTGCTTTCACACAATTTTGTTATTGTTCCTTCCTCAGCAATCTTTAAAATTCTTTCTCCGCCATCTTCCCATTTTAACATCTGACGCCATCCTGAAATTTTTTCAATCATATTTCTGCAGAACGATGGCAGGCAAGTTGGTCTCACTTAACCATTCTCTACTGTTCTGATTTCGATCCTCATTGGGGAAGCCTCTCTTTATGGCAAGTGAGAGACTAAGCTTCTACTGAACGCTATTAGATTTTTTTTTGTTTGGCGAAAAGATCATACTAGATCCTCTAGGATCAGGCCCAGTTAATAGGGAACGAAAGATGAGTAAATTAAAGGAAGCAGCATACATGGGAATAACGTATAAGTCTACATATAAGACAGTTTAAATATCACGAGAAACAGTTGGATGGCCTTAAGGTAACTTGGCAACCAATTTTAGAGAAACTTTCTGTACATTCTAACGAAGGTTTATTTATTTGACTGTGAGAGGTAATTGAGAGAATCGTGTACTGTTTAACGTTCCATGATAAAGTCCTTCATGCAGGTTTTACTGGCAAAATATCATTTAGCCTAGCATAAATCCCTATTAGAATACTGGATTATCACAACAAAATCTCTCAATATATTCCTGTCCTTGAAGATCAGCAAATATCTTGAGATTACGTTATTTCCAACCAATCATTTTCTGATAAAAACATGTTTGATTATATCACTTTATGTTGTGGCCTTGTTAAGGCCAGAAATAAAAACACAAAGAAAGGAATGGAGTTAAACAAATATATTAACAGAAACAGTAACACAAATATATACAAATGAGAGTGTTACAGTAAGAATATTCGGTCAGACTGTCAGAGCTGACTGCTGGAAACTTCCCTCTCTAAAGGGCAGTACCTGCTCCTATTTATATCTGGGAGAGTCCATGTGTGCGTGGGTAAATTACCATAACACTTTTGATATAACGATATATAATTCTGGATAATCTTATATATCAACAAACAGTATTTAGAAAAGTATAACAAACTGGAAAGGATTTTTTTGCGACGCATTTCATCTGTTAGGATTTCACTGGACTGGGCTTTGATGACGTTAAAAAAAAAATTGCAATCTGTCATTTTGTGTGCATGTGTAGACGAGACATTGTCATCAAAGCCCAGTCCAATGAAATCTTAACGTATGAAACGCGTCACAAAATAAACTTTCCAGTTTGTCATATTTTTCTAAATGTCACTTCATATAAACGACATTCTTTATTCAGGTACTTTCATACGAAACGCACGATTTTTCTATATATCCATGTCTAGATATATTTTAGAGATACTTAACCAATTCAGTATTGATTAGAGTTTCCATTATTTTGCTAAGGAAATATAGGAGATAAATAGGTCGATAGTCCGAAAGATTAGAGGGTGCGGCAAAGTTCTTCAAAAAAAGGAATTACAGAATGGGATGCCAGTTCAGTGCATATTTCCTAAAGACAATGACACAGATACCATCGAGTTCCCATGCTTTGTGGGGATCAAGTTCGGAGCTGATATCATAAACCCTGAATGAAGTTATATACATATCACACAGTAGAGAGTTAGTTTAAAGAGGAAAGTTTGGAAAAAGAATACCTGATGAGTCGAGAATAGAATTAGATGAGAAAATGCGGGTAAAGCATTCTGCTTTATCGGTAGAAAGTGATAGTATTTCACACTGAATAAAGATATGAGGGATTGAGGACTTATCCTTATTTAATACGGACTTACAGAACTGCCAGTAACTCACGAACAAAGAACAGGTTAGTCTCGTTCAGAAGATGGCCAAAATGTGTTAAAACAACAAAGGTGAAGATACTAAGTGGCACAAAATTCGGAATACGGCAGACAGCTATATTTTTCTAATGTTGTAAGTCATGAATGTCAAGAAGATGAGATACTGAATTTTTAATCAAATTAAGAACTTGCTTCTTGATCGATCTTATCAGTACCTGGCAATGTTTACTCGAGGTATATATCCCGACATTTTCCGGTATGGCTTCACTGATGTTTAGTCTCCAGAAGAATGTTGAAGAAAAGATGTTGATTAAGGAAATTTTAATTGTACTGTTGGCATCAAAATCAAAGTCTGTGGATTGACTGGCGCGTGTTAAAGCGTAGAAACATTCAAAAGTTCTATTCGATGACATATTCCGGCGACATGCTGTTCATTCAAAGTTTGTCTAGAATAGATAATTGAACGACTGGCTTTTCATTACCTCGAATATTCATTTTGCCAAACACTGACATTTTATAAATTTCTTTTCCTCTTTTTTTTTAGGAGAGCTCCCAGTATCCGTTTAGATGAGCACTATCTAAATCGATTCATAGATATATTTAGAGAGACATAGAAGGAAATCGAGGATAAATTAGAGAGAAAGAAAGATTGAAAGAAAAGAGAAAATAAAAAGATAAATAAAATATATAAATTATCTGAGATTTACTGAGTGTCTAGGCCAAGGTTCAAGCTTTTTATATTGTCCTCTGTTACAATTACTTCACCAGAAAACAACATTCATTGTTGGTTTAATTCTAGTTATTAGACGAGAATCGTAAATTTTGTCAGGAATTGAACACAACGGCGTGTTTACTAAGTTTGCTAAATTGTTGTGCACTAAACGAGGTTCGAACTCATATCACACTAATCATTACTAATCTTACCTTAGTCTAGTACAAACCTATGCGACGCTTGGGGTATCTTTTTGAATTCAACTCTGTAGTACTATTAACCGACTAGACGATGACATGCCGAGAAGGTTATAAAGAGACGCGAGACAGCCCGAGGAAAAAAAAAGTAATAATAGAGAGAGAGAGAGAGAGAGAGAGAGAGAGAGAGAGAGAGAGAGAGAGAGAGAGAGAAAAGAGAATGTGTATCAAGCACTTGATTAAACAAAATAAAATAAGACAAAATCATAGATACATGTATGTCCCGAAATGATTTCATTTTTTAATATAATTTCACCCCAAGCAAGGCGATAAAGCCACTAAGACGCAAGAGGATTTTTGAGAGTGAAGGAAACTGGAGAGAAAGGATAATAAAAAGAACAGGTCGCAGGGAACATTGAGGCTAAATTTAATTTTTTGTGGATTATAGTTGACAGTAAAGCAAGAGAAATGCGAGGGAAGAAACTCTTAGAATAGAACTTACGGTTATATTTCGACATTGCAACATTAAAATAATGGAGTCTAACTTCCAGTCAAGTATTACACTGAAATTCCTGAAGACGTGATACCAAAGCTCATAAGAATAACAGCGATAAAAATATTTTTAGAAACCAGGAAATTTATGTTATGGCGGTGGAAAGTGACTGGAACCGAGATGCCCGTCCAGGACCGACAAAATTGCAGATTCTTTTGGGGATTTTGTTAGAAATAATAAGTACGTAACAAAGCCAAATTTTTTTGTTAAATTCATCAGTTTATCAAGGGTAATAAATTTTCTTTGGTATTTAATAAACTGAGTTTGATATGCCAGAGGGCGGTAGTGAAGTGTCACCTAGGCAAGAGCAAGCTAACACGATACGGGCAATTTAATTGTAATGACTCACCTTCGTACTGGAGTCTGTCTTCAGCTTTAGTGATCGTCCAGCTAGTGTGGCTTATGGCTTTGTCAATATTTATACATACACATATACATACAGACAACAACGCACCCACCAAAGAGATATGTACACGCATCAAACACAAAAATACACACACCGTACGTGCACGCGCGCACACACACACACTGTACGCAGTTATATATATCACACATACATGCATAGCATTAATCACATACACACGTCATACGCATAAACATACACAATGCCAATACACACAATCATATATTCCACACACCAGATACACAAACACACGCATACTATTTTTCCCACGCAGACGTACACAGACGCATAAATAACAAACATCAAACAAACGCATGTATATCATACATCACACAAACATATAGACATAGACGCACATAGACACACACACATACGCATACAACGCAAACATAAGAACTCGCATACTATACATCACACATATATTAACACTCAGTACATATAACAGAAACACATACACATGACACACAGATGTGTACCACACATAATGCAAACATGCACACGTGATACAATATGCATCACACACATACACACGACACACAGATTTGTACCACACATGATGAAAACATATATAATATGCATCACACGCACATACACACAAACGAAAAACAGATATGAGGCGCACATAATGTTAACACATACAAAATGCATCACACGCACACACACACACGATACACAGATATGTACCACACATATGAAAACATATATAATATGCATCACACACACACACTTGCCCTAATTTTCCTAGGGAAAAAAGTCTTAATCTATTTATAGGTAAGTAGTTAACATCAGCGACAAATATGGGACTTGAGGAGCATTTTTGAGCCGTTTTTTGGAAAATAAAGAAATAAGAAAGAAATATTTTATAGGCCAACAAATACATTTGTTTATGATAATTCGATTATATTTACCGTGTGTAGCTGTTCACAGTTCACTAAGACAGCTTCAGTTGATAAGCAAATTGTGTTGCGAATCAAGTTATATTCGGATCACTGATAGCAGAGTGTTATCTCCACAAGTTTAGGTGAAAAGAAGTCACCATATATTGAAACGATATTACTTTTCCAGTTCTGAAGTCATATTTAGGTAGGAAGGAAAATTAGTCTATTATTAATCTTCTCATTTGTACATATAGATTTGTAGAAATGTTTTTAGATTAAGTGCTTTCATTAATTATTCGAAGAAAATTAGATACTGTCTAAAATACATTTCACACACACCACAAACATATAGGCCCTTGTGTAAATTAATTTAAACAACCGCTTTAGTTACCTTTCCTTCGCCATACAGACCCATTGGAATGACAGGGTGTAATCGATTTCTATTTTGTCCTCATATTAGGTCATTTGCAGTGATGAGCAGTAATATGATTATATTTTCATGCTGGATGATGAAATTTGTTTGGCCTTGAAAAATATTGCGTGATCGCATCAGATGTTTATTACGCCCAAACACTATTGTCTCGACAGTCGATTAGTTCTCCTACGGCCATTGTTTGCAATGGACGTTACTCCAAGGAAGCTTATGAAAATTGTAACGCAGCACGAATACAGTGAGCAAATCAAAGTACTATATACTGGCGCGGAAATTCTTTTGATTTAAATCCAGTCGAGAATTTGTAGTCAATCTGCAACGAATGGACATACGAATTATTAACATGTGCACTGGGTCATGTTTCATTGGAAAAATACGAAAAAAAAGTAAATAATAACGGAATTATTCGTTTTATTTCAATTAATTTGCACAAAGTATATATATATATATATATATATATATATATATATATATATATATATATATATATATATATATATGCAAATATCCGTGGGTAAGTAATCCAAGTGAATCCTATTCATATAAAATCTATCTAAAAATTTATCCACAAAAGAGAGCTCAATATAGGACTTCACCTGTCTAACAGGGACATATACACTGGTCCCAGATAGACAAAGAAATAACCAACGGTGGACACCCCATACGAGCATTCGATAAACTTTACGTTGAAGACATTCTTTAATTTTATTTTTTTGTAGCCAAGCTCTATACAGGGTGTCCCAAAAATTTGACATTCATTTTAAAAGCAATTATCTAGAAAACTACTAAGTCTAGTTCAATGAAATCGAAGACTTTAGGTGTCATCATAAATTTATTATAAGACCGATTTCATAAGTGTTCAATATTTGCAACGACTGTGACACGGCACATGTCAAGTCGGTAGTTATACTCTTGTCAAACACGATGATGTTCACGATGGTCTACGAGATACTTTATCCCTGCATAAGCACTCTTCCTCTTTATATTTTTGGTATCAAGTCCAAATTTGTTTCCTAGTTGGTGAAGTTTTTCCAAATTTTGCATTGAAGACACTCTGCAGAGTTCCTGGTTGACTGTGTGCGAGCATATTCCAAGATGCAAAATAAATTCTCTTTGGGAATGAAAGCCATGGCACAACCTGAAAACCGATCAAAAATAAAACATTAAATATAAAATCTTGTAAAAAATTGAGGTTATTTCAATAAGAATTTCCAAAACTATTGGCCTGCGAAATGATGTCAAAGTTTTTGGGACACTCTGTATATACATAAGCCATTAGCCGATGCTTTTTTTGCGTCCAATAACATTACTCAATGTCTAACAGCAGAGCGACTGGCAAACGGAGGTTTGCAGCTTGCAGAGAAATTAATTTGATAATTAACATTAGGAAATTAATTGTGAAGAAATGGACATTGCCAATTTTATGGTTCGTACAGTTTTTTTTTTGCCAGGCCATTTTACTGATGGGAATTTGGTAACTGTTAAGCGAGATGTTCTTCAGTATTTGTTGGGATTAATCAGTGACACGGAACGTATAAAACACGGAAACTTCTAATATCACCGACAACATATATATAGAGAATGAGATGCTGAAAGCTAAGGGAGTTTTATGTAACTTTGACGTCATGAGAATACTCAGGCCTATATCTGTTGTACACTGACATCTGGTTAGGATAGACCCTTTTTTGTGTGCCTGGTTAATGTAAGTAACTGTCGTTTCCCGGCCTGTTCCTGGCTTCTACTTTAGTTATGATCCAAATCGAGCTTCACAACCTCCCCAGTTTGTTTTTGGTCCCTTTTTTGTATCTAGACAAGTTCAGTTTCCTTATTTCCCTCTGGCCATATTGATTTTATTCTATTCTCTTTCCCTTAGTGAGAGAGCCTCTTGATTTTTTCAAAAGGCATAATACAGCGGCCTCTCTGAATTCTTTTGAGGATTTGAAGGGTCCAGCTAACATCAGTTATCCTTTTGTGTATCTGTTTTGATATTTTAGTTTGTTTTGGGGTTCAGTCCCCCACCTCATTACGTATCATGCACAGATTTTTGTATATAGAATTTTATAATCGTTAATTTTTATGTCATGGGGTGTTTTTGTAAGTCCCCTGAGAGTATTGCGGTATTGTGGTATATGGAGGATTGAATAATGATGGATAAGTTCTTTTGATGGATGTGTAAATAATAATGAGTGAATGGGTCGGGAATCTGATTAGCTAGGTATAAAATAGTAAATGATGACCAGTCTCAGCCCATTCCCATTATTTTCGGCCTTGTGCCACAATTGTATTTTATTTACAATAAATCTTGACTCACTTTCTTTATTATATATGAATTGCCATTTATTTTTAGGAAAGATAGGGGAGTAGTCTCCCATTGCTTTCTTCACGGTTTCAAATTCCGACTTCTACGTTCCACAGATTCCCTTTCTTTATTAGATGGACCAGTCAAACCCTCAAAAGTATTAAGAGCCCAACTAACATCAGTTATTCTTTTATTTTTGCGCATTTGTTTTGATATTTTAGTTTGTTTTGGGGTTCATCACCCCCCACCCTCATTACGTATCATCCACAGATTTTTGTATATAGAATTTTATAATCGTTAATTTTTATGTCATGGTGTGTTTTTGTAAGTCCCCTGAGAGTATTGCGGTATTGTGTTATATGGAGGATTGAATAATGATGGATAAGTTCTTTGGATGGATGTGCAAATTGTAATGAGTAAATGGGTCGTGAATCTGATTAGCTGGGTATAAGATAGTAAATGATGACCAGTCTCAGCTTATTCCTCCTCTTTTTCAGCCTTGTGCCACAATTGTATTTTATATACAATAAATCTAGACATCTGATGAGTCATCTTGATCACCAGTTAGGCTGATGATGGCAAGATGGCATGAACTACCAGAATTCAAACGGAACATGACAGTAGGTATGACGGATTGGTAACTCCATTTCTGAAATTAGGAAGTTATTCACGCTTCCTCTAATTACAGAATTACATGTGAACCGGAAAGAAACCTGTAATGATTAGGACTATGGACTTCTGGTTAGAAATATGCGTGTTAACAGATATGTGTTGCATTCGCATTCACTGGAAGCGATAGCAAGCTCATCTCCAGCAGGTCATTTCAGCGTCCATTAATTATTTGCGATATAGGAATAGAAATTCCACTAGGTTTGCCGCTGTTTTCACCACAACACCAGAAATAACGCCTCATCAGACACAGCGTTAATTAGATCCTGCAGGACTATGACATTGTCTAATGAGTTAGGGCTGCATTTATTTTGGGCTCTTGAAAGGTTTCTGGTGTAGCACAGATAGGATACTATTTTCGCTGCCATGGTAAAACGAAGGGTGGTGTTATTAAAACATAAGGTGTTATGTGCTGAGAGACATGGAATCAAGAAGAGTTAATACCAGGGGAGCTCCTGGGAAAGATTGAAGAGTGAATTCACATATAAACGGCTTGAATTGTATATTGAGTTGTTTGACCAAAATGGGAAAGTGACCCAGACTTGAGGTCCAACGTTTGATTGATGCACAGCCGCAAAGAAAAAAATTTCATTTTCGCTAAACAAAGGATTTGAAATTGATTCGAGGCAGGATGGGGTGGATGGGCCACCCACGCTCACTGAAAAGGTTGGTGAAGAGGGAATTCCCCAATGTTATGACGTAAACAGGAGGGGATTCACCGAAATGTCTCTACCTCGACATACCCCCATGTCAGCTTTGGGCAATGTCCATATGTACAGAAGACGAGAGAGAGAGAGAGAGAGAGAGAGAGAGAGAGAGAGAGAGACGGGCCGGAGACGAGTCAGAAGAGAGGGCACGTGAATGCCTGCCGAAGAGAAGCTCCGACTTCAGACTTGTGCCGAACTTTACCAAAAACGGCAAACGAGGTTTGTGCCAGATCGACGATAGTACCACTTCCGATTTAGACGCGGGTTTGGTTGGTAAGTAATTGCATGCACACAATATAAACCATTTATTGTATGGAGACTGTTATAAAATCAGTATTTACTTTTGTTATTTTTTTCTCTGTACGTCACCGCCCTGCTTGGACCATCCCAACACGAAGACACCTGCGACGATTCGATCTTGGCTGCCTTATGATCTAAAAATCACTTCGTGGGATAAGGTGAACTCTGAATTGAAGCGGTCACTTCTACGACCAGCCGTGGTGTTGGAAGTCTTGGACGACCGACTGGGGTGTCTGAACGTTTACACAGACCCCCATGTAATTCCCCATAGATACCGTTCATTAATAAGGCATTATGCAGTCTGATGGTTGCTCACTAGTGGTAAAGAGAGTTTTAAAAAGTCAGGCGTTGTGTCCGCTAATTCTAAACACATCGTTAATCTGCTGACAACTACGTTGTATAGCTTCATTTTCAACCATTCATAGAATCTATCTACTTTAACAAGGATGGATGATCCCAGCGCTATACTGCATCGTGATATTAAGCCCAGGGTGCTATGATCTTTTTCTGGTTTTATGATCTTTCAGAAAATTTCCAACGAATGTTGTAGCCACTGCGTCACCCGAAATGATCCCGTTTAGTTATTTATGGGATATAGTGGAAAGGTCTTTTTGCAAGCAAAAGATAAATAGATAAGTATATTAACTCATTTTATGTGAACCTGAAGGAACGTAATGATTCTTCTGCCCGAAACGCCATGATGAAACCAGAAGGCTCGGTGAATTATCGTAAAATTGATTACATACTAGAAATTCCATGTGTTGAGACAAGAGAAAGAAAACATTTCGAAAAGTTTAACGATGAAAATACAATCGTCGAACCAACAATGATAAAGATATTATCAGAGGATGTCTATGTCTCTGCCTGTCTGTATGGGTGATACGTTTTCACACCCGATCCATTCAACCGATTTTGACCAAACTTGTCACATACATTGTACAATGTTAGAGATAAGTTCTTAGCGTAAAAATCGATAATTTAAAAAAAAATCAATAATCAATATAAAGCCGATCAAAAATCTCAAAATTCAACTTTCTACATCCGATTTCGTTCATACTCAGTATGTAGGTTACTTACATCAAGACGAGCTCAACGATACCTAATTTTTATTTCCACGTCACTGCAATTAGCGAAAAACCGCGAAAAACGAAAATCGATTTCAACACAAATCGATTTCAAACAAAACATCGGTTTCAACTCAAGTTCTAAGCTGAAAGCTCCCTCAATTTTCAAGCAATCCAATACAAACTTCACTCAATTGTAGTCAACAATAAGTTGATTGTTTAACAGTCGTTTAACTTGACAACTGAGTCCACCCATATAGTGAAAATCCACGTAAATAGCAAAAAATTGTGAATTTTACTGGTTTCTTTTTCATTGATCTTTCAACCAATTTTCATCAAACTTCACAATTGCTTTATAAATGTATCCTCTTTTACATCCCTGGTAGTACACTGACAAATTGAATTTAAAAAACTTCAAAATAATTCTAAAGTGGGTCTTCGTGTTGCCTGTTTTACCCCTTCATGTCTTCGATGGAATAAATACAGATTACTTCTGTTATGCCAGTTAACTGCATTAATTTATTTTTTTTTTTTTTAATATACTTTAAAATAATTGAAGAAGATAGAATCTGTTACATCTGAACATGATATTGCTTTTGCTGCATTCTAATTGAACGCTTTTTCTGATCGACCAGCTGGGTATGGCTGTTAATTCGAAATAAAATTTGAAATATAAAACTTTCAAATGACACTAAGGAGCTGACTGTCCGTAGCATTGTTAATAGTTTCTGAATGTTTTTTTTAGAATTTTGTTGATGAGATGGAATGAAAAATGAAAGAGTTGTTAATAATAATCGAAAGTATGGAAAAAAAAACGATGGAAAATACAGATGATGTATGAAACACTGAAGTAAGAGTAAATAAAAGTAAAAAAGAAATAAGAAAGAGAGAGGCGGTGGGAGGGGGAGATGCAATGAGATAATATGATAAATATGGCGAAGGTGAATTTGAAAAGGTATAAAAGAAAATGTGGGAGTGATAGAAAGTGAAATAAGGGTGGGAAGAAAAAGACAAAAAGAAAATCGAGTCATCGAAACTAAGAAGAAGAGGAGTAGAGTAAAATTATGGATATCGAAAGAGATAGATAGATAGATAGATAGACAGAGAGAGAGAGAGGGAGGGGGAGGAAGAGAGTAAAAGAGAACTATATGTATAGATGCATATACTTCACTTTTACTCTCGTCCCCCTAGAGAGAAAGAGAAAATGGAAGACAAAAAGATTAGGCGAAATACATAGAGAGTTCCGAAGGTGAAAATATAATCTATCTAAGTTTATTTCTATCTATCTATCTATCTATCTATCTATCTATCTATCTATCTATAGTTGGATTGATGTGAGTTTGTTCTCTCACTGATAATGAGCGCTTTCCAATAATTACCGCGCATATATAAATTATAAATAATATATATATAAATTGCATATATATATATATATATATATATATATATATATATATATATATATATATATATATATATATATATATATATATATATATATAGAGAGAGAGAGAAAGAGAGAGAGAGAATAAAATGACAAATGAAGAAAAGCCATAGTAAGGTGGAGAGATAAAAGAGAAATGCAACCATATTAAATGCAGACATTATTAGATAAAGGCAGTGTTGGAAAGAGACGAACGTTGGAGAGAAAGCCATGGAGAAAAAAAAGCTGAATACTACAAGGTTTTTTTTTACCATTCTTTCTAGCTCCATCGTCTGTTGAACATAACAAGAGCAAATTTCTATCAGTTGATTTTCACTGATTCACGCTCTTCTCCTACAGTGCCGACACACTAGAGACATCCATTCATGTTTTCTGAATGGCGAAAACCAAACAGAAAAAAAAAAATTCTAATAGCGAATAGCCAAAAAGTAAACAAAGACATTTGGTCAAAGAGGCAATGCTAAAAAAGCAGTGGATTCCAAAACAAAGAAAATATCTACACATACCAAAACATAGAAGGTAAATTGTGCAAGGATCTAAACAGAGAAAGAAAACAACAGAAATGAAGCAAAGACCACAAATTCTGAAACAAAATCTACGGATGCCAAAGAAGCACAAGAAAGATAGGTTAGTGTTATACTGGAACACACCTATTCTCTTGTTAATAGACTCTCCCAGATATAATAAGTAGCAGTAGTAGCAGTCGCCAGGGGGCTCAGTAAGTTGGTGAGTCAGTCGATGTCGGACATTAAAATATCAACCACCACAACTAGATTGCTGCATCATTAACTATTATTTCAAGTTCCTAACGTTTTGTACGTCGAACCTATTTTAGGACCGACTTAGTGAAATACAAACCTCCACTGTGAAAACTACTCTACAACAGTTAGTGAAACTACAAAGATCCCCGATGTGTAAAAGACCCCCAAATAAAAGAAAACTAACTGGGAAATAGCCAATTGGAAAGTGTCAAAAGTAGAAGAAATTTCCAAATATTGGTTCGAAACATTTACAACCATATAATGAGTTTATCAGCAAGATCAAAAACTTTACAAAAGTGACATATGTTTCAAAATGTATGAGAAGAATAAGAACAAAAAAACACGGAGAAATAAGGCAGATGAGCAACTAAAGACCAATGACATGTTTACCACTGATAAAGGAAAATCCTGAACGGACAATTAGAAGAACAAATCTTCTCACTCAAGTTAAATCAAACTTTACCATAAGAATAAACAGAATATGAATCAAAAGGACAGATGATCTTTATATCGCAAAAACGATTTTGAAAGAATTTAAATAGAGACGAGAGAAAGTTCCAATGGTTTGCCAGGTAAAATAAATCTGACATGATCTTCCAAATATGGAATCACGAAAATCATAGAATGTTCTAGATTAAAGAAAGAATGGTGATCATCTGGAAAAGGTGCGTATCAAAATTGAACCCTGATTCGCTATTGCTAACACATTTTGGCATAACCCTGATATTAGTGACTGAAAGTCAACAGACATGGATATTTTCCAGATCGTCGCAGACAATCGAAAGTAAGGATTAAAACAGGAATTTTGATGATGGTAAAAGCAGGGTGAACATCGGATGGAAGAAATGAGACAGTAAAAGGAATTGATCGATGACAAAACAGTGAATTAACTAACAAATGACAACATTGCTTTACAATTGTAAAGTGCTTGAATAAGTAGAAGAAAATGAATGAAGAAATAAGAAAAGAATATTCCGAAAAGAAGGGAAATATGTTATAACCAAACCATAAAATGAACAGAGAGGTATTCGGTTTACCTCATAGGGACTTCAATCAATGGTGCAGATTACGCCCTTGTGTAAATGTATTGGAACAACAGCTTTAGTTTCTTTTCTTTCGTCATACGGATAATTTTAGACCAACTGGACTGACAGGTTTTAATCAAGTTTTATTTTTCCTCAGATTAGGTCATTTGCAGTGGTGTGCAGTAATATGATTCTATTTTCATGTTGTATGATGAAATTTGTTTGGCCTTAAAAAATATTGCGTCCGCTGTGATCGCATCCGATTTTCATCACCCCCCAAACACTATTGTCTCGACTGTTGATTAGTTGTCCTACGGACATTGATCTGCGATCAACGTTGCTCTAAGGAAGCATACGAAAATTTGTAACGCTGCACGAACACACTGGAAAGGGAAAGTCTCACCAGTGAGCATATCAAAGTACTATAGTCTGAACTGGAAACTCGCCTGATTTAAATCCAACCGAGAATCTGTGGTCAATCTGCAAGGAACGACTTCGTGGAATGGACATAGGCAGTACTAACATGTGCACTGGGTCATGTTTCATTGGGAAAAAATGCGAAAAAAATATAAATAAGAATTATTCGTTTTGTTTCAATTACTTTGCACAGAGGTGTACAAGGAGAAACAAGAAAAAAAGAAGGAGGAATGAATTCATCAGTACTGAGAGCTGAGTTCGAACTTCTAAATGGGATTTACTACATGCGCACATCATAACCGTCAAAGCAGGATGGACAAATCGAATACAACAATTACGACTGTGTAGTGAGTTAGATCCTCTCTGGGTGCCCCATACTTTAAGTCTTTTGCCACATCAAAGTTACGTTTGAGTTTAAAACTGACCGAATGGTGAAAAGAAGGAAACTAAAGTAGTTGTTTCAGTTAATTTTGACAAGGATGTAGAATGTAAAATTTAAAATATCTAAGTTGAATATATCAATAAATTTAATTTTTTCATACAAATTAAACGGTATGTCGTTTTATATAGCAAATTCAAATGGTAATGCTAACCAAACGATAGTATATGATCTGAAATATGCAAGATAGCAGTGGAAGGTCTAAATCCTATATTAGTTTGTGTTATAACAAATCTCTATCTATAAAAGGCAGGATGTGTGTGTGTGTGTGTGTGTGTGTAACAAATGCACGGCCGCAATTTTCGACGGATGTGCACCAAAATTTACATGCACATACTCCAAGTTAGCAAGAAGGCCAAGACCGACGTTGCATTTCCCAACTTCCATCGATAGTGGAAATAATCGATTTTTCTTCATGCTTCTACGGCAGTTTTCATGTAGTTTGCGGTCATTTTCTATTGGCCAGAGTGAGAGCCTATAGCTGGCTGCCACGAATAGGCGGGAAGATTCTATTGGCCAGCGTGAGAATCAACAGCTGACTGACACAAATGTTAACTAGCATGCTAGCATGCAAAAAAAAATCGATAGCTGCATTCGTCACAAGTGGGAAAAATTTAAATCTGCATAGCACTTTACTCCAATTGGCTCATTCGCTTGCTTAAACTCAACGTTGATTCTGATTCCGCAGAACTGGTTTGGGTGTGAAAAAGTATTTGTTCTTAACATTCTTTTTCCATTCGATTTTTCCAGTTACGAGTCCTTTTTTAAAGCTGATCGTTTTGTGTTCATTTTGTTTAGTTCTTTTTTCGTAACAGATTTAATGTTTAGTATAGAACTTAGAAAAAAATTGCAGTGTGAGACAGGCAAGAAGTAAGGCATATAGCAACATCAGCACGGCAAAGGGCACTCCTTTAAAGGCAAGGAAAGGCAAAAATATTTTAAATCAAGTGATAGCGATTGCTGTATGAGTCGTACGATTTTTGAATTAAGCACGGGCAACGCCGGGCCATGCTGCTAGTAACTAAATAATAAAAATAAAAATATATGTTTTAAGATTTGCTATTTTTTTAATTTCATATCCTACAAGCTTCAATATTGTTACAGTGAGTACAGACCAGTTCTTTTACTTTGATTTATATTAAAATATTTCTAATGTGATATGTAACGCTCATCCGAACAGATGTAATTCCTTGTGGCTCTGCTATGTCTCCTCTTTCTTACTACGTACTCATGCTGTGACTTTCTGAGGCAGAATCAGGTTAATTTGCTTCCAGTTGATGAAACAAACATTTCTTGGACTATGCGACGAATGCATCTGGTAACAAGCAATTCTGAACAGCATTGCGAAAATACTATTCACAGCTTGTGGGTGTATAGCCGACCACGCAATCGCTACGATTTACACAGTTTGTTTATTTTCATTATTATTCGTGCTCGTTGAGATTTCAAACTAGCAAAATTTGGGATTTGTATTGGAGATCAAGTGATAGCAAGTTCTCGTCGTATTTTAATACTCTCCATAATCATTGGTGCTGATTGTAGTAATCATATCGTCAGGATTCTTTCAGGCCTTTCACAGATTTCGAATTCTTCCAGTCTTTCGACAAGGATCATCTTTGTTCTTAGAAAACCAGGAATAATAAGTAAAATCCTCATTTTATATTCCATAATTTTGTTTAAGTTTTCAAGGGATGTCAGACGACCTAGAAGCTGACGGCATGGCGAAGAGAATAGACGAATTGGGGTAGCATGTGTTTACTGGGAAATAAAGATCTGGTGAAAGGCATGAATCCGCCTCTTCTTTCAGCGATAATTAAAGAGCAAGGTAGATGGAGATATTCAGTAAGGAAGTGTACCCTGCACACGGGGTGATCACTCGGTTTTTAATTATGCACAACTGCTAAAAATAATGATTGATTCTCAAAAAAGTATTCAAGAAAATGGAGACGTAAATAATTGCCTCAGGTTCATTTGATCGCTTATCTCAATGTTTTCAATGCAATGGTTGACTTTAGTGCTTACTGGCTAAGGCTCTTACTCTAGGTTCATTTGATAGTTTATCTCAATGTTTTCAATGCAATGGTTGACTTTAGTGCTTACTGTTTAAGGCTCTTACTTTAGGTTCATTTGATTGCTTATCTCAATGTTTTCAATGCGATGGTTGACTTTGTTGCTTACTGGCTAAGGCTCTTACTTTAGGTTCATTTGATAGTTTATCTCAATGTTTTCAATGCAATGGTTGACTTTGGTGCTTACTGGCTAAGGTTCATTTGGCTCAATGTTTTCAATGCAATTTAGGTCCATTTGTTTAGCTTATTTAGGTTCAATGTTTTCTCAATGCAATGATGGTTGACTTTGGTGCTTACTGTTTGCTCTTACTTTAAGGTTCTTATCTCAATGTTTTCAATAGGTTCATTTGATACTAAGGCTCTTATCATTTGATAGTTTATCTCAATGTTTTCAATGCAATGGTTAACTTTGGGTTGACTTTGCTGTGACGGTTACACACCTGGCCCAGGGTCGGATCCTTTGGTTGTTTGGCGCCAACGGTGACGTCAACTCCTCCTGGTCGCGCCTCCTGGGTCCAAAGCGTGCCGCTCCAACCCCTTGGTCAGATGATCACCAGCCTCGCCTTTCCCGACTCAATACCTGGTTCATTTGATCTCCGGTCAGCTGTTTACATCTTAGACAATGTTTTCAAGGGGGTGGCGAGACAAAAAAAAGATTGCTGATGAAAAAAATGGACAACCTTTTTTATATCTTTCCGGTGTTCTCATTTCCCAACCCGCTCTGGCAAGTCTCTTCCACATTTAAATAGTTCATTAGATGTGTTTCAATGGTTTGGTTCAATCTAATTTTTCGATCATTCGCCTTCTTCTCTTCGACTTGAGTTGTATTTCTTCTTCTTTCGACTTAGGTGGAAGTTCTCTCTTCGACTTGGGCTGGAAGGTTCAACTCTCTGTTTGATTGCCGTTATCTCAAACCGGGGGGTCTGTTGTTTTTCTCAATTTCAAAATGCGATGGTTGACTTTAGTGCCTTTTTGCACACCCATCTCTCTTAGTCTCTCGTATGTCAGGTGACCGTTTTTCGACCAATGGTTCCTTATTTCTTTCTCTTCTTTTCTGCAGATTGACCGTTTCATTGATCGAGCATCCTTTCTCCTGTTTTCGGGCGTGGTTACATCGTTCTTGTTTTAAAAAAAACAAATCCAATTTTGCCTTTTCTGCACGTACGAAAAAAATGACAATCTTGGCTTTCTCTCACCTGGGCTCTTACCAGCCCGCCGCTAATTAGTTCACTTCAGGAAAGAATACCGTCGCCATCCGTGATCCGAGACAATCGCCTCCTCCCCTTTTTTTGTCAGATGGCAGTGAAAATCTTAATTTATCTGAATTGAAAATATCTTTACTCGTCAATGTGGGGGTTCTAATTTTTTTAACAGGCAGAATCTTACCGTTCAGGTTCAACCCAAAGACACTTTTTGATTAAAAAAAAAAAATTTCGTTTTCTATTGTTTAAAAAATTTCCCTTTCTCCAATTTGATAATGTTTTACGCAAAAGTAGGCTAGATGTTTTTGACCGATATCTGGTTTTTCATCAAGCGGCCCGTTTTGATATCATGTCTTTTCCCTTTCTTTCTTTTTATTATTTCTAATTCTATTCTTCCAATTGTCTTTAAAAAATTCGGTCAACATGCTAGCTAAGATA